TAGTAGTAGTAGACTCAAATTACTAACCAGGTGTTCTTTGAAGAGGACGTTCGGGTCTTCAACAGTTTCATTCTAAAGAGAGAGAGAAGAAAATAAAGAAATACTTTAGGACTGCAAACATTGCACCTCACATTGCTATAAGGATGTGAAATGGATGACATTTCAACTGTGGAGATAGAAATGTACACAATGACCAACCAACATTCACATGGACATTAATGGTTACCTTGTCACACAAGGTAACAACCACTTTAACCAGTAAAGCATATTTCTTCTCTGTTTCAACATCTCTATAGTCATTAGGTTGCATTCACAGATCTGATAAATAAATAATTAACATAAAGTGCACAACTCGCCACATTCTTTTTTTTAGTGCAGGAACATAAAAAACTAACAACATAATCCTGAAATCCACAAGCACATTTAACAAAATCTGAAATGCCTCCATCAAAACAAACAAGAACAATTAAAGTAACGTCACTTGTGAGACAGGTTGCAGTGAAATATGTTGCTCGGAAACCGACAAACAACAGTTTTTTCTTCACTAAATACTCCTCGACCTGTTTGAAAACCTTGGACGGTCTGGTTTACTATTCTTCTTAAAAAGTAGAACAACCCTAGCTATCTTCAGTTCACAGGGAAACTGAGTAAATACATTTAGTATATGAGTAACTATTGTACAAATTACACTAGCACTATCCCTCAGAAATCTGGCTGGAATAAGATCCAAGCCAGTTGCTTTGTTTGTGGGAAATACAGCTCGACACACCCTTTACCTTTTCCACTGTTTACAGATAACAAACTGTATCTCCTTAACCACGGTGGAACTTAACAACCAGCAACTAGCAGTGATGGTTGTGAAAAACATATTTAAAAAGCTAGCGACGTTCCCTTTATCAAAACAAATCTTATCCTCAATTGCCAGATTTAATTTCGGACGTTCCTGCTGAGTTCATTTTATTAAGTTAGTACTTTCCATCGTTTTTTGGGCTGCTGTGAATCTTCAGCAATGGCATCCACATAAAATTGGGACTTTGATTTCTCTATCTCATATCTGGTTTGATTTCTAAAAAATATATATTTATCATACTCAGCAGGCAGTTTTGACTTTGTAAAATCTAAATCTTGTTGTCTAATAAAGTCTCAAATCTCCAGTTTGCACTTCTCTGTTAAATTCTAGTCTCGTTCATTGGAGCAACAGAATCAAGTGCAGCTATAAAATTCTCTTTAAAAAGAGCCTTAAGTCCTTGTATAGTGTTTTGTATATCTGAACCTAATAGAGCAGTGATTTCCAGTATTTATCTGTGGTTTAAATGTCTTACAAGTGCAGTAATTGGGAGATCTTTTTACACTCTGAGGCCAATCTCAAGTCCAATATTGACTGACTATTTTAAGACACTCTAGTAGGTTCAGTAATTAGTTGTTGTAAACCAAACACAATAACAAATGATTTAAGAAGGAATTGGGCTTCCAGATGTAACAAACACTGGGACAATGAGTAAACAATAAGTAGCACAGTACAGTCTTTAATCTTTCCATCTCATCCAATTCTGCCTTTCACTTACCTCCTCATTCTGAATTGTAACCGTGATCAGAATCACGAATTACGAATATATTGGAGCGTGACTAGTTAATCATGATCCTGAGTTTCACCTACAGTCAACAGAGATGCTTTACTTGTAAAAAATACCCAGAGAAAACAAAAGCACCACATTTTGTATTTCCTTACTCTAACAATCCATCTTTACATTGTAATAATCAATTTGAACCTGTTCAGCCAGAAATATGTACCATCGTGTAGTAATAAGATCCATTTAGCCAAAAATACACTTTATAACCTTTATATAATTAATTCAAAGTCACCACATATATTATATAAGTCTGCAACCTGACTGATTGGTGGAGTCATACAACCACAGGGCTGTGTAGGTCAGATTTATGTCTGTAGATCATCAATAAAAAACTTTTTCATTTTAAATGTATATCTTTTCAGTGATTTACAGGCTCACTTTGTATACATTAGTTTTATTTCTTACATCTTTCTGCTGTATTTGTGTATAAATACAGTAGAACCAATATCTTGAGATTGAGAACTGTTCTGTGTTCAATATAATGTTCAATATAATGTAATATAATGAGTGTAAATTCTGTCTCATTTTCATGTATGTTGGATTCCTGGCAGCTTCAAAATTTTGTTAAATTGACAAAGTGAAAAGTCAGACTTACAGCTGCTGATGGACTCCAGAGGATAGACTTAAAAAAAAAAGGGTAAAACTATCCTTTAAATGAAGGTGTCCTAATATTTCTCTCTGTGTTCTTCAATGTCAGGCACACTGATGGTGATCTCCCTCCTGTCCATTGTGTACGGAGCGCTGCGCTGCAACATCCTGGCCATTAAGATCAAATATGATGACTACGAAGTGGACGTCCGACCTGTGGCTTATCTGTGCATTTTCCTGTGGAGAAGCTTTGAGATCGCCACTCGTGTGGTGGTTCTGGTTCTCTTCAGCTCTGTGCTGCAGCTCTGGGTCCTGCCCGTGGTTCTGCTCAACTTCCTCGTTTTCTTCCTCTACCCCTGGATCCTGTTCTGGCAGAGCCACTCACCGTTCCCGGAGAATATAGAAAAGACTCTGACCAGGGTGGGAACCACCATCGTACTCTGCCTGCTCACCTTCCTCTACGCCGGCATCAACATGTTCTGCTGGTCGGCTGTGCAGGTGAAACTCAATGACCCAGACCTTATCAACAAGTCCCAGAACTGGTATCGCATGGCTGTGTACTACATGTTGCGTTTTGTGGAGAATGCCTCGCTGCTCCTGCTGTGGTACATCTATAAGACCGACTTCTACAAGTTCATCTGCGCCCCACTGCTGGTGCTGCAGCTGCTGGTAGCCTACACCATCGCCATCTTCTTCATGCTGGTCTTCTACCAGTTCTGTCATCCATGTCGGCGGCTCTTCTCCTCCAGCATGACCCAGGGCCTTTGGAACTGCTCCTCTCTTATCTGTCTCATGTGCAACTCTGCTTCTCCACAAAACAGGCCGATGGGAAAGTCTGTCCTGGAGCCAGCCGGCTCCAAGGAGCCGACTAACGACGGAGCCCACGACACAGCCAGTGACAGCACAGACGACATGCCTAATGACACAACGTATGACATGCTCAATGATACGATCTATGACACGCCTAATGAAATGAGCAATAATATACGCGGTGGAATCAATGGGGACATTAGCCACAGTGTATCCTGCAATGCTTAAACAATTGTTTGACGTGCCATTCAGAGGAACAACTCTGACAGTTATCACACAACCCCTCTGTAACCTTTAAAGTGCCACATGAATCCCTCTGTGAGTTGAGTTTACACTTTAAATCCTTTCTTTGAATCTTAATATTCATATATCCTCTATATCTCAACTCTGTCCGCCACTCCTACATGAAGCAAATGTGTCCTTAACCGGAGGGATCTATTCTGGCTGCAGACATGCATAGTGTCCACTCGTGTTATCCAGAGGTGATGCTCACCTGTCTCATCAGCCGACATCCTGGACGACGTCATTCTGCAGCCTTTAATAAAAACTCATGGACAAGCACCATTACGTCTTTGGTTTCAGAGACTGTGTCCACTTATATGCTGCATTACTGATCACAAGGAGCCATGCATTTGAATTGATTGTATTTAGTATCTCTCTTTGGCATGGAGGTGTGCATGTGTGGAGCCTCAGACGAGGTGTTGTTCTGCAGGGGGGCAGCGAGGTTGTTTTGTACAGGGTTTTTTCTGAACCCCCCCTACCACCACCACCACCACCACCTCTGTAGTTTTATGGCTGCAAGCAATCAGCTTTTTTACTCCTTGATAAGAGCTTTATCATTAATATGCGCTGCTTCTGTGATGTATTTGTGCTTGACGACGAGATGAGAATCTCCACACATTGTTAAAGAGCCTCTTCGGTCACCACACACGTTACTGTAAAGCACGGACATCTCCAGGCATCACGTTTTTGCACGTTTACAAAATGGATTTAAGTGGCTTTGGTTTACCTGTTGAGCAGCAGCAGCTGTAGTGATGTGAAATGCTTTGTTTGGATGTATTTGCATTTTTCTAATTCATGCTTGTTACGTCTGTCAGCTCTGTGTCTGTATGTCTCATTAGTTAGGATATTTACACCGAGTGCACATACAAATTAATTATATCTAATTGAAACATTTTTGGAATTGTAACAAGTATTTTTTGCTTATTTTCAACCTTTTGATGTATAACTGTGTGAGAGAGAATGTCAGTGTTGCACTAGCTCCTTTTTGCAATGTATCTGCAGAGGGACGACAACCCTGTATGTTCCTAATGTTTGTACAAATAAGACCTTTGAAGCCAAAAAAAAATATATGAAAACCCTATTATACATCATCTGACATTCTCATACAGAGCAAGATAAAAGGTATTTAAAAGATAAACTCCTACTAAGTCTAAATAAATTTATATTTATATGTGAAACTTGTCTGTACTGTTATTTGTAACTGAGAAGCAGCTACTACCCTGTCCTGTGCTGACCTCTAGTGGACGGACACACAAACTGCAGAATTGTAAAATATTACTTATAGTTTGTAGAGATCCACACTCAGACACAAACGCTTTTTAATACATTTAATCACAGTTCTAACAAATTAATTATTGACACAGGCTCTTTGAACTGAACAGTTTTACAGAAGAATTTCAGGGTTTCTACAAAGTCTAGAAAAAGTGCATTTGTCGTGGTGACTGACCATTAAACAACTCTGAAATTACACACTTTAATATCTGCACACTCACAGATACAGACCGGTGTAAATCAGTAACATATTAATGCAGACAAGGAAAGAAACTTTATGCAAGTTGTCACTAAAACATAACAGTCAGACTTTTATTAAATAACAAACATTTTACTACAGCAACAGTTCAGTCTGTTTTATTTGGGAATGTACTGAAGGAGACAAATGAAACCAAGAGTCTTCATGGTCAGCTGCGTTCTGACCACAACCTCTGTCCCTACAAAGCAACATTTTCTCGCAGTCGATGAACGCAGACCGACGCAGGCTGTCGACTCACAAACCACAACTCTTATTCTGAAGTTATGTAGTTTAAGCCTGTGGGGGCGAAATAAGCTACTTGTTCATGGTCTTCTAGCAGAGGATATCGTCAGAGGATCTTCATGGTGCCACTTCGAGCGCAGACATGTTAGGAGGAGAGAGAGCGGTGCAGCTCGGTGCCGCTGTTACAGCGTCATAGCAACAGCAAACACACTGACCACACAGTAAATGGTGCGGTTCTCCCACCTGACTGTGCAGCTTCCTGAAAGAGACGAACAGAAGAAGAAATTACACAACGGTCCACAGAAGGTTTCTAATCGGTTCCTGTAGAAAACGTGTAGAAATATTATTTATAAAGCATGTTTCTCCACAATTTATTCAATAATCTATAATAGTATATATATAAAATAATAACATACATACACAAACCAAGCACCTAGAGCTGGAACCATTAGTAGAAAATGATCAACATATATAATTTACTACTTCTATATGATATACAATTAAACTTACAACTTGTACCAGTATCATTGGTCTTACTGAAATGTCTCGATCCTTATGATTCTGCGTATACGCTGATGTCAATCTCTAAAACTGGCCTGGATAATTGATCTATCTTTACCAGATACCTTCAAAAGACGAGCTAAGTATTAAATGTCGACACTTTAAAGCTGGAATTGAATGAATGGTGAGATTCATAATCACTTATTTTTCAATCAGATTCTTCCTGATTTAAATAAGAATTCTGCAAATGTGAGATTATATTATTTAGGCAACGTTATTGTGTGACTGTTTATGTTTACACAGTTTGGCTTTTCTTACTTGTTACTTACTGCTTTGGTAACAATTGCAGCTGATACCAGAATTAATTATAAGTCACGTCTCACCATCAGTGGCAGTGTCCCAGTAGCAGGAGTTGGCTGTGTGGAGACCAGCGCCGCTCTTCTGCATGATCGTACAGTTTACTGTGAAACATCAGACAGTAACAGTTACTCAGTTACACATAGACTATATTTAACTATAACTACATTACTATATGTGAACTTTATGTCCTCGAGACTCATATTACTGTACGATGGGCAGTTAGTTCACCTATGTATTTGAATGGCCGTCCCTGTTTCACCAGGTGAGTCAGAGAATGCTCCACTATAGTGGCCGTCCACTGGTTCACTTTACTCTGGTTATAATCTGTTCCACCGATAACTCCTTCAATACACTGAGACAAAACCACACACAGACAAAATCACATACAGCGTCAGTAAAACAATAACACAATAAAAAACAGTGTGTTAATGTCTCCAGGAATCCAAAGGTACCTCTTTAACTGAGATAGTGGCCTCATCGGCACTGAACACAGCCTGCAAAAAAGGAAAAACATGGTTCGTTGGTGGCATCTGTGTGATTTTACTTCCTTTTTTAGGATGAATAGCACCACACAAATAACAGATAAGTATGGAGATTGTCATGTTTCGGATTAATTGGATGTGTTGTGCTGTTTGAATGCACTTGTAAAATATGTTGTTTTGTTAGAAATTAAACTATTCAACAGCAAGTACGTGAAAAGAAAGTCAAACAATCATTCAGTCATTAATTGGTTAGAAAATGAATTGCCAACCATTTTTTTTTGTTATTTACTTTTAGTTATTTTTCATTCAATCTCATTTCAAACCAAACAATAAATTGATTAATTGAGATTTAAAGAGTAAACTCTGCTTTTACATGAGTGCATCCATAATAATAACCTAATGATATAATGTATAATAGCATGACAACCACAGGGGCTTTTCTTCTGCAATTCCTGATTATATTAAGACACTTTAATTAAACATTTATAACGCAGGACTTTAAATATAACACAGTATTATTACAGTGTCGTATTAATAGTCTGTTAACATTATAAATTAATCTAATTCCATAAGACCACACCCTGATGGAAACACCCTGAGCTAACGGCTAACAGCTAACAGCTAACTGACGTCATTAAACAACGCGTCTTTGTTACGTCAGTTAACTGCGGAGCTTTCTGATAGATTCATTAAATGTAATTCATAATAACGTTACCTCGTCTCCAGAGCTGTATTCCTCCATCGTTACTGACACTGAAAGACCTCTGTTTATTATCACCGCTGCCTGTCTGTCTGCCTGTCTG